AATCTTAACGTCCCGTCCTCCTTAAAAAAAAAAAAAAAAAAAAAAATGTGTCTATGATAAACCTTACAACTCAGAGGCATATATATTTCCAGGGAAACAGATGAAATGTTACTGAATATAATAATTTAGTATTCCCTTTTCAAGAGAAGGATCTCTCCCGACCTAAGTAATAAAACAAAAATCTTGGGCAAGCAAAATTGTAGAGCTCATCTGTAAGAAATATTCATTTAAATTTGCATACCAAGTATACTAGTCTAATCATGCATATTCAGAATGCTATTTAAAATAGTAAGGGATAAAGACCTCTGAAGGCAGTGTCCACAGGGATTGTTCCGTTGTGTGTATATACTACCTGATGTAGTGTGCTAGATCCAAAGTCAAAAGGTATGCTCTTCAAATGTTATTTTAAAGAGTCCTAGTGATGACTTATATCCATACAGGATAAATTTGTGTAAATTCAATAAGTACTAACCTTCCTCTGAAACAAGAAAGGTCACTTCAAATGAGTCTTTTAATTCATGCAAGAATTTAAAGACTCTCTTTTCTGAGAACCCTCCCAGGCACATTTCTCATACAGAAGGGCTGCTGTTCCATGTTTTCAGTGGAGGTGCAGGCTCAGAGCACAAGAATTGTTTTACTTGAATAACTTTCTCTTCTGTGTTTAGTATTTTGACTTGCCTAACAAGGCTCTGTTACAGGTCAGAGTGAAGTGACTTCTGCTGAGAAAAAATGAGTGCTGCATAATGGATGAAGACAAGTTAATTGAGTCCATTGTCTAAGTCACTTGTCTATCTTCAGATTGCCCTGCTTTATCACTAAGCTGTATCCCACAGAATATGAAATATGCCTCAATCAGTGCAGGTCAGCTTTGCAAACCTAGCTGTGAACTGCTGGCTGCTGGTAAAAAGATTGGGTGGCCAAGGTTTGGGATGTGGGATGTAAAATAGACTGTAATTAGACTGGATAAGATAGTTCAGATTTGTGCAGCCATGGCCGGGCTTAAAGTCGCTTTGTCCTTATTGTCCTCTTAATTTTCTAGTACACTGCACAGATATGTTAATTTAGTGTTCATGCTGAATGTAAGGTCATGGTGTCTCACTTTTGTCTGTACTTGATTGCTTATCACCTTTTCAGACTGCCATTTCTATTTGCCATGTGTGTTTGATGATTGGCCCTCAGTAAGTCCCTCTGCAAGAATACTGATCATGTTTTCTTTTTTCTCTAACAGCTGCTCAGTAATTTCACATGACATAATGTAAATGTATTCATGAAGTAAAGTGAGTCCCTCTCAGCTCATGTTGATTGTGCTCATGGAGGTGTTCGCCAGTCTGTTGAACATGTTCTGCAGTTACTATCTTTTTTTTTTTTTTTTTTTTTTTAACAGGCACAATGCAAACAGAAGACCATACAAAGATCTGAAACATTTTATCTGTCTATAAATCTATTTCTCTCCTACACACAATACACATGTTCATTTCAATGGAAAATGTGTGGCTAAGTCTCCTGTACTATTTGAAAATTTATAGATAATTTTGTAAATCTTCCATTTATGTTCTAGCTTGGTACATTGCTTCTCCCTGGCTATTATCATCAGTAGGCAGCCAGTAAGATACTGAAATAGAGTACAGATGCAGATCTCAGATTTAAAGATTTTTTTTTTTTCCATAATATATTCTGTAAAAGCTTTTGAGTTCTTATGCTCAGTTCTTATGTGAGAAAACAAAACTGATGATTTAGAATTTTAAAATATACTTTATTTTTACAACTTTTAAAATGACAAGCGAGAGAGAATGCCAGATGGACCATTTGGCTTAAAGTTCTAGCAAAAATGGAAACAGAAGATGACAATAATCAGGCAAATATCAATGAAAGTTCCAACAGCAGTGTGGTTTAATAGAGTTGAAATAGTTACATGGCAGGTTTGCAAGCATTCCAAATCAGTAGGAATTAAGCATTTCTACAACAAAACCCACAGATTATTTCTCTAAAATGTTTCATCTCTGTGTGACTCATGCTTCATTTCTTCAGTTGACAGTCTTGTACTTTGCGTGAAATAGTTACAAGATTTATTGGACTAGAGGGATAGAATATAGTTCATGACTAGCATAATAGTACAGTGATTAGGGTACTCACCTAGGAGGAAGGATGCCCTTGTTTTCATTTATTTAAATATCCTTTATCACATGTTTGATGTTGCAATCCTGAGGCTTTTGTCTTGAGCCTGATATTTGTTAGTAGTAATGTGTTCATAAGAGATCAAAGATATGGACTAAGGTTCTGTCATACAGTCTCTAATGACAACCCATTGGAAAGTGCTGTAAACACTTTGGAAAACAGGTTTAAACTGAACTTAAATAAATAAATAAATATGCTCAAAATCATGTAGATAAAATTTGATTGTGAAAAGTACACTGTATATTTAGGTATGAGAAATTAATTTCACTGATACAAAACAGGAAGTAGATGGATAGGTTTGAAAAATACAGGTTGAAAAACTCTTGGACTTCAGGACACCTGAACTTGTCTGATTGACAGTGTGATGCTCTTGGGGGTGGAGGTGAGGGAGAAATAATCAAATTTCTCCTTCCTGTGTGTGAGAAATGTGAAAACAGTCAAGGTTATTATTTTTGGCACTGGTGAGGCCATTTTTGGAATAAATAATATTAGAGGTAGTGTATGCTCATCCAGTTTGGCACAGATGCTTAGGGTTAGACTAGATGGTCAGTTGCAATACTTCCAGATACTATACATGACAGTGGATGAATTCTTTCTTCCTTAGAGAAATTTATGGAGTTCTATGAATTTGAAGTTCTTATCAATAAGCATTCTGCTCCAAATTTCCTTGCAAATACAAATAAACTTTTGGAAAAATGTTTCTCAAACTGCAAAATGCCAAAGTATGGAACATAAACATTTAGTTTGTGTTCCACACAAAGTATGGAACATAAACATTTAAACTAAGACTCAAATTTTTGGAAAAAAGATAGAATTCCACTTCTAACTGCTTGTTATAACGATAATGTTTTCAATTTGCAAAACTGACACCAATAAAAATGAATAACTTTGTGTTCAGCGTTGTGCTAGAATAAAAAAGGTGCTTTTTATAATGAGGACAGTTTGAAGATAAACACTCCATTTTGCTGGGTGAAATGGAAAGTGATTTGTCTAGCTATTCTTTATATAACTTATCTATTTAGATTAAACTAAGTAACATATACAGGATTTAGTTATGCCTATACTAAAAGGTTTGTCTTTCATGCTAAAATATACACAAACAATATACATCAAATATTTGACCATTATTTTATTATTTCCATATACCTTGAGTATATTATTTACATTTGTTTGGTAAGATATGATTGTAGTAGTAGATAATAGGTAGCTTCTCTTCCAAGCTACCAAAATAAATGTTTGAAAATAACATTATGATTCATGTTTCCAAGGTTTACTTCAGCGATCATTCAACAGATTCCCACGGGAAATATACTTTTTTAAAAAGAAAAGTATCCAAGTCACTTTAATGTCACATCCAGTATCACTGACATTATTTAAAATGCTGTCTACTTAATTAATAAAAATAGGGAAAGAATGTGGGAAAGCTGCAATTAGGAGACAAATTTATAATAACATGCTTGAAATAAGAATGAAAACATTACTGAATGATCTTCAGATGCTGAGCATTATCAAGTCATCATGTTGACATTTTCCATGTATTTCTCACATGTGGAAAAAAATCTCCAGTTAAATATTTTTCACTTGTGATAGCTGAACAGGTTTTCAAAACAAATGCCCTTGCCTAGTAGTTCTCCAGACAATTAGAAACAGCAGAGTAGATTTTACAAATTAATTTTAAAAAGCTGCAAATTTCTTCCAGCCAAGAGTATTTCAGAACTTATTATTTTAAGGACAGATCTAATAGGCTTTTAAATGTCAGATCCCACCAAGCCAAAATTTTCAAAATCTATACTTCATTAGAGAATTACATTTCTAATTTTTCTACAGGTAGGTAAGCACTTCAGAGAGAAACAGTAACTGGTGATGCACTGATCAGGTAAACAGACGTTCAATGTGCACTGTCTGACTTAATAGGTATTAAGCTCCAAGTGAGGGGAACCAATTTCCACGTTCCCACACCTGTTTATACATTTCAGGTGGACAAAAAAATTGTTCAATAAAATGTTGAGTTAACTGTAAGGCAAGAGAAGAGTATCCACCTCTGCTCATCTCTGTTGAGACCTTTAGCATGGCCATGTCTGTTCTTCTTTATGTAGAGCTTAGGGATATGGTTTAGTGGGGACTGTTAGCGTTAGGTCAGAGGCTGGACTCGATGATCTTGAGGTCTCTTCCAACCTAGAAATTCTGTGATTCTGCTCAATGAGTCCCTGTGCTTTTCTGAAGACTGAAAATGCTCAAATAGCTTCAACAGAAAAGATAAAGACCTCCTGATTCTACCCAAAACACAATACCGTGATGGCTGTGATAGATGTGGGTTTTCATGCTTTGAATAATAATTTTAGAAAAGAAGATCTGTCACTGGAAGGAGAAAGGAGCAGAGTCTCCTGTATTCAGATTAAAATACATAAGAGAATATCATACATTGGTCTCACCTTCTCATGACCTGCAAAATGACATTTCACTCTTCCTCCTCCTACCCCCCGATAGGAGAAATCACAAAATTCTCAAATCACGTTGTTACAGTGCATCCAGAATGAGAGAGGCAATGCTTTTCTTTCTCAGAGCTGTTTTCCTCTTCCCCAGTGATTCCATTTTCTTCTTTTCACCCTCAAATTTATGCTCACTGCCCATCTTTACTTAATCCTCCCCCCCCCCCCCCAATCCCAATTTATTTTAAACATTCACTTGATGCTTAGCTGTGCTAGGCTTTGGAAGTACTTAAGTCAGAAACTGCAGTGTCTAGAGAATTTGAGTTCAGAAGGGGCTCTCAGCTGAGTCAGTGGATTTAGGGCCTGGAATCCTACCTGGACTCTTTTTTTTCCATATTCATTTCCTATTTTAGTACTGAAAATAAGCCCCTTTGACATTGCATTTAAATTGAATAGCTAGTTCAAAAACAAATGGAAAGAAATAATTCCATTAATTAATTCTTAATTAATGGTTAAATAATGGTTAATCACAAAATAATTACTGATGTATAAATGGAAGGTAGCTCTTAGACCTGCTTTATGAGACTATATCGAGACTTCTATTTGTAACTTTCCTTTTTCTGTTATGTTTTTCAACTCTAAAAGATTGGTATTTTTTCACATATATAATATTGGAATGAATCAATTTTAATCAATACAATAGCAAATGAAAAAAAATAACGCTCTACATTAAAAGAGTAGCATTATGTAGTATGAACAAAGTATATTCTAAAATAATCTTCAATCCATTTTTAATCCTCTAACACGGTTTTCTTTCTTTTTTATTTTGCTGAAATTTGAAACTGTTCTCAAATAAAATGCTATCACATCCCTCTCCCTATTCTTACCCCCCCTCTTTGTTCTTTAGATTTCTATTTGATGTCTTTCTGTCTTCTACTTAGCAGATGTATACGCATGTGAGGAATAGGAGGGAAGAATGGAAAGAGGTGGATTTAAAGCTACAATCAATTAACCTGTTGCTAGGGGACCCTCAGCTCACCAATCAAAAAATAGCAATCAGCTGACTGGAATTAGCAGGATATAAAATGGAATAATGAAGCATCACGCTTCTACCTTTTTTTTTTTTTTTTTTCTTTTTCCTTTCCTTTCTTCTCTTTTTCCTCTTTTTTTTTATTTTTTAAGTGCTTACAAAGGGTGAGAGAGAAGGTCGATAGGAGGTGGTTGAAATGTCAAGGATATTTCACTCTTAGTTTAGGTACTTAATTAAGGGAAGGGCTGGCAGCAGGAGCTTGGATTTATGTTTGGTTATCTTTTTGTTTATCAGTGGTAATGGAAATGAGTGGTAGTAATGTGGCATGTGGAAATATATTATGTAAGACTTTATTGCCTAATGCAGTCTGAGCTAGGCATAATTTGCAAACCCTATGGAATGCCAGTTAATTAAAGCTTAATGAACTTCAAAGAGCGAGTTGTGGTTGGTAGGGATAAAAGATGACCCCAACTGATACATATGAAAGCAGTAGATTTTGCTTCACTCACTTAGACTTCACTCAGGTATATCAGGGATTTCAGACTGGAAGCAGAATTTACCATTTGAAGAGTGATCTTTGACTCTGGCAAAGTATCTGTTACAGGATGTTTTGTATTATTTTTGTTTCTTCTGGCAGAGAAAGACCTGCTTTCAGAGGTCTTTCAGACCACTGAAATGGCCTTCAGAGTCTGCTTTTACTTTAAAATTTTTAGGGAAATGTTAGCGTAGCAGAATACAGTCTGCATGCTGATCACGCTTTCCATTGTTGTTCTTTAAGCATATTACTTTTGTCATCTTTGATATCTGTAGTCTTCATTTTAAAATGCTAAAATGAAGGACCACTTACAATGCTTAAAATATACAATAACTACTTATGTTTTTTTTTTTTTTTTTTTAATGACTATCCAAGACCAAATAAATTAGTCCTTCTTGAACAGTGTTCTCGTATGGCTTTTATTTACAGAGAATAAAGAGCTAGACTAATCTCTGGAATTTCTCTTTAGCCCTATCATCTTGATTATCTTGACTATCATCTTTACTTCTGTATTTAGATATGTTGACATATTGGAGATGAATAAAAGAGAAGATGAATGCTTGCTTTCATCATTCACCTATCCAACCACCTTGTGATGTGTCTTTCATGCTGTCGGCATGAAAGGAAGAAAAGGCAAGTACACTGAACTTAGTCTCAGCTCTCTTCCTTTGTTGGGTAGCCTTTGTATGTGCCTACTGGTTGGAGACAAGCACAAAGTACAGGAGTGGTGCCATGGCTGTGCACTCCTAGTATATTGGATTCAGTATCTTGATATATTGGATTCAGTATCTTGAAACACTAAGAGAAGAAAAGAAAGTCTGTTATTATGCCAGTGCAGTCTGGACACCGAATTCAACTGCATTTTTTTTTTAATTTTTATTATTATTTTTTTTACTTCAGGCTTTGAATTCTAAATCTTCATAAGGTTATGCTTTAGGCAAATTGTTTTGCCTCTGCTTGAAGTCACCTTGAGGTCTCAGTGTTATTTGAGATGAGGTACAGTGATTTGGGTATGCCTAAGGATATAGGAAAAGGAAGAATAAACATTTAATCAGGAAGCTAATTTTTATACAGATTGGGGACTTTAAACAGTTTCAATACTGTAAATTTAATATAGCAGCCCATCTCTGCAGAATGGGTAAACTTCTGAAGTTTCAGAGCTGAATATTAAATGACTGTAGTAATATTCATATTTATTACCTCAAGGAAATGTTATCTACTTCTTAAAATTCATGTTACAATAAGGGACTGTGGAACTATTGCTTTCAAATATTTTTTCTGGTATCTAACTACTGTATATGCCTCTTGTAGCCAGTTTTTCTTGTATTGTCATTAGAGCATGCAAATAAGTGGTGGTCATATTTTATTAAATTCTGATGCTCAGGTATTAAAACACAAACAAAAAAAGAAAACACAAAATTACAATTGCAAACTAATTTTATTTTTTTTTATACTCCAAGGAAGTATTTTTAAAGAGAGATTTAGATGTTGGATTTGCAAATTCATTGGGATGATTGGTTCATAAAATACGACTAAGAAAAAGCCCACAAATATGCACTGTGTTTATTGGCTAGATTCACAGAGAGTTGGAGTCAGGCAGGAGATTAATTATTTTACATTATTGATTGTCTTGGAATGACTGCAGTTACTAAATATCAAACTGCTTGCATATAAATCTAACTCATGCTGCAGAGTTAACATGTTCTTTATTGTAGGTTTAGTAAAATAGGTCTGCATTTGGTGAACTACTTGAGCAATAATTAAATTGCAAAGGAATATTGGGAAATTTATCTTTAACATGTGAATGAGGTTTTTTTGTTTGTTTGTTTTGTTTTAACCAAGATATGATCTTAGCCAAATATCAAGATTACTGAGTTGAAGGGGGGAGGTGGTGAAATTGTTGATGAATAGCGTACATAATCTTCTGTAGTTTCACTTCTTTTTCATTTTTTTTTCCTGTTTCCTTAATATTTTCCTTAAGATAAAAAAAAAAAAAAGGCATTGCTCCTAACTTTAAATGATAGTCTGTTCCGAAGATCAATACAATAGTAGATATAAAGACTGATAGCATTTGCTAAGTGAAAGCTGAACGTAAGCTTACAAAAAAAAAAAAAATAAAACAACAACAACAAAAAAAGCGCTTAGAGGAAAGGAGGAGTATGGTCGTGGCTGGGAAGGGGATGTGAAATCTTAGAGCAACACTGGCTACAGTGATTATGAGAATGCAGTGATTATGGTGAAATGCAGAATTCTGAGAGGAAATAAGGCCAGTAGCCAGGATCACAACCCTGGCTTCAGGACAACAGATTCTGATACAGTCCTGCAGAGATTATAGTCCAGAATAACGGGTTCATTTCTATAGGTTACTTTCTCTGAGCTCAAGAATAATGATTGACTTCCTACACATAGGCGAGGAAGGGAGTCAGGAAATCTGCATGCATGATGAAACTCAAATATAAAAGGAACCATACAAGAGATGGAAGTAGAGGTGAACTGGAGATGAAGCTGGGAAGCAATATGGAAAACAGCAAGGAGACCTTCTGTGGTAATATCAACAATAAAAAGAAGACTAGATAAATATGAATATACTGCTGAATGGGACAAGTGTTTTAATGACAAAAGACAAGGAAGAAGCCAAGGTACTTGTTACCTTTTCTGAGGATTGAAGGAAGAAGAGGCTGGTCAGCCTCCCATGAAAGCCTGGGAAGGCGATGGAGCAAATAATCCTGGAAGCCATTTCCAAACTTGAAGAATTAAAAGGTGATTGGGTGTCATGACCAAAACAAACATCTGCTATGATGCAGTTACTATTTTAAGGAAACAGTGTATGTTCTGTGTCTTCAGTGAGGCTTTCAAAACTGATAACACCCTCATTAACAAACTGATGAAGCATGAATTAAATGAACAGACAGTGGCATGAATTGGAAATTGGCTGAACCGCTGGGCTCAAAGAATTGAGATCAGTGGCACGGTCTGTACTTCAGTCACCAAGCGGTGTATCCCAGGGTTTGATTTTGGGGCCAAAAATATTTTGTTAATGCCCCTGATGATGATACAGAGTACACCCCCACCAGATTTTCAGATGATAAAAAACTGGGAGGAGTGGCTGATATAATAGATGATTGTGCTGCCATTCACAGGATCTTTGGCTTGAGAAAAGGGCCAATTAGAACATCAAAAATTCAGCAAAAGGAGAGGCAAAAAGTCCTGTACCTGGGAGGAATACACCCATGCAACAGTACAGGCTGGGGTCTGACAGTCTGGAAAGAAGCTTTGTAGGGTAGGACCTGTGTGTCCTCTTGAACAAGTTGACCATGAGCCAGAAATGCACCCTTGCAGCAAAGAAGGGCAACAGCGTCCTGGCTTGCATTAGGAAGATCATCAACAGCAACTTGAGGGAGGTCACTTTTTCCCTCTACTGGTGACATCACACATGGAGTGCTGTGTACAGAATTATGGGAGATATGAACATGCTCAAGAAAATTCATTAAAGGGCCACAGAGATGATTAAGAGCTTGGAGATTATGGTGTTAAAGAGTCTGAGAGAGCTGAGTCTGTCTAACATGGAAAAGAGAAGGGTTAGGAGAATCTTGAATAAAGGAGACAGACCCAAGCTTTTCTCAGGGGGGATGGCCCAAGAAGTGATGGCCACAAACTGAAATACAGAGAACTCTCTTTAAATATAAAGAACAACTTTTTAACTCTGACAGTGATCAGATACGAACAACTTGATGGGAGTGTTGGTGGAGTCTCCACGTGTCCAGGTAGTCAAAAACAAACTGGTCACGGACCTAAGCATTCTGCTGTAGTTGACCCTGCTCTGAGCAGGGAGGTGAGACTAGATGATCTCCCTTCCAACCTCAGTTATTCTGTGGAAAGAATTGAGACCACAGTTTACTTATTATTTTCTCATTCTTTATATGATTGAAGTCATTCAAGTAGGCCTGTATGTGTGTGTACATACTATACATATATAGTACATATCTCTGATATAGACCAATGGAGAGTCAAAATTCAGTCTCTTTTCCTGTTCAGCCCAACTGAATTTTTCCTGTCTCAATAAGCAGAAATTAGTGCTGGGAGGTGCTATGAAAAACTGTGGTTTTCCATCAGTTGGGCTTTCTCTTTACACATCACACAGGTTATGTCATAGTAATTTGCTGAAGAGAAAATAGAAAAATACTAGTCAGATATGTGAATGGCTGTGAACACCAACTTTACTGTTATAGGAAAATAACTAGTGTAGTGAAGAGGCTAGTATTAATGCTGACAGACAGGTTTGTGGGATCATTATCTGCAATTATGCTTATGTATTTATTTTTCTACTCTTATCTAAGATTATTTTATTAGGATAATATGTCTAAAAGCAGATTCTTCTTTATATGCCCCTCAGTGGAACTATCTCAAGCTTGTTTTTGATGCCTATTGAGAAAATGGTAGTAAAAACTCAAAAGTTTATCTTTCAGTGAGAATTGCAACAGCCAGCATGATGAACAAGGCAGTTCAAAGGTGCTCAGGAAGCAGTATGTTCTAGTATTCTTAGTAAGGGGGAAAAATAAAAGTTTCTCTTAACTATTACAAAATACTTTCCAAACTATGTGTGTGTATATATATATATATATATATATATATATATATATATATATATATATATATATATATAAAATGTAGTAATGTTGAAATCTTGAGACACTGAATTTTGAGGGCCACAGGGATTTCGCGGTATCTGAATTCAAATGTTGAAACACCTATGTACCTAGCTCAAAATCACTGATTCAAAAGCTTACGCGACATGATGGCAGTTAATTATCAGCATTCTGTATTCAGTATAATACATTGCATTTATTACCTTACGCCATTACAGAGATAGAGTGATTGACACTTTCATCAGCAAACTCTTGATTGACTGCAGCATAAAAATATCAAAGTATCAGTAAATTGATTTTTATTTTTGAATATTATATAATAATCTATAGTTCTGATAGAGGAACTTAAGTATTAGTGTCCTCTCTCTCTCTCAAAAAAAAAAGTATAGTAAGAGTAATAACTGAACAAGTTTGCTCTGAAAACAGTATGACAAATGATGCCCTCTTTTTTTTATAGATTTGAATACTTTCCTTACACAGTGCAGTAATGTTAAGTTTTGTGTGCAAGAAGTAGCACATATGGCAGCTAATCTTAAGCATGTTAAATGATTGGCAAGTAGGTTCACACTATTTGGTCAGCCAGCTGATGCTGAACTGTGTGTATAATATCAAACAGTTCTGCCTGACTTTTTCACTGTGAAAGCATTAATTTGATCTTTCCTATTCATAAAATTTTCACTAAAAACCTTTGGAAAAATAAATCCTTTTGAGACTATATGCTGTCTTTGAACTGGTTGAGATGAGATGAAAAATTGAGTTGGATTAAAAGTTTTGAGCTGAAGATGGAAGGACAGACAATGATCTCAAAGACTTTCTTTTGGAAACCAGAGAAAAATAAACATTTTCTGATAGTGTACTCGGAGTTATCTTCTGTATAGTGAAGGATGTTAAGTCAGATGATACTGTTCATGTCTTTAATGGCACTTAGTGTTAAGTTGTGTACCATTTGAAAACTATGAATTAGCCCCCATTGGACTGAAATTCTTGAAATAGACACTAAATCCCACTTTCTGTATAGGAACATGACACACTTACCTTAACTAGAAATAGCTGCAGATGCCTAAAGTAAGCAAAATAAAAACAGCATTGAATTTTTTTTTGACCTTAGTATTTGAAAGAGGATTAATATTACTCTGAGTGAAAGAGAAGATAATTTATAATATTCTTGGCTCTTTAAAATTGCTTATTACAAATGACCACTAAAGGCTGTGATTCTGAAATCTGGGCTACCAATACCTAAATTCTTTTGAGGATTTGGTGTTTGAGACATGTAACTGGATTGCTGTGTAAATATGTGGGCTGATTTATGAAATGGCAAAGAAAATCTCAGCATTCTAAATGTCAGAATGCAGTCACCTAGAGGCAGTGAACAAGAAGCCATCAGCTTAAACTGGAGTTATCTACTAGTACCTGTCAATTGAAGAAATAAAATATTAAAAAAAAATAAAAAATAGTGAGGAAAAACAAGCAAAGAAGTTAGATATGTTTTCTTTTCTCCTTTCCTCCTGTAGTGAAAATGTGTTGTTGAAATGACGTGGTAATTGTAAACAGTCACTGTTCGTTGTGGGGGGGGGAAAAAAAAGAAACAAAAAGTAGAGCATAAGGTATGTTTTGTATTATAAGAGTACCTGAAGGGTCTACCAAATATCACAATTTTATTGGTCTTTAATGTCCTTGCTGTGTCAGGTATAATGAGTCTGTGGTCTAAGAGAAGCCTACATAGGAAAAAAACAAAAACAAACACAAAAGAACGTACACACAAAACCAAACTGGATATTTTTTGAATATGTGACAACAACAACAAAAGTTCTATATTGTGCTATTTTTCTGATCCTTAAATGAACACTGAGATGAAAAATCTGAGGTAGACAACTCAACAGTGCCAAAGGTGATAACTGAGCTGGGAAGTTTTAATGCAGTGTGATGCTTTCCCTACAATGCAATTGTTCTTCAAAAGCATTATTCAAGCAGTACTTCACAACACCTCCTGTCCCAGCTTTATACCATCTTCATTCTCTGAAGATGTTTTACTGAGAACTCACCTCACTCTTGATCTGAATTCAGTTGCTACTGTTATCAAAAAATATTATTATTAAAAAGAAAAGGTTTAGTGACATTACCAAAATTAGTTTTAATAACATGCTTGCAATAAGATAATTGTTCTTTAATAGTTCTTCTGTTGTGAAATGTGATGATTTATCTTGGAATAAATAGACTGCAGAATTTGGATTTCTCTGCATTAAATGTAGAGAAGCAAATGAACAGTTAATCATTAAGGAATAGTGACAAATTAAGAACTATAATGGTACCTTTCATAGATTAGATGAGCATGCAACAATTCTGAAGTCAATCAAAAGAAGTCAAATGACATTGCTAATTTTTTGAAGCAGTCTTCCATTTTCTATATTCTAGTATGAAAACTACAATATACAAGAAAGAAGGAATACATTATTAGCATTACTAAAAAGTGTTTAAATATAGAAAAGCAATAAAATTTACTGAATGTTAGTCATTGTTGAGGGATTTTTTGAAACAGCAAAAATCCCATGGCTTGCTGTAGCTGAGCAAACCAAGCTACCAGGGCAACTATGAGAAGTTCCCATGACAGTGTTCCCACATTGCCCAATTGAGGAATTCAGAAAAATATTGTTACCAGTAGCTGGCTTCAAGGACAAGGTCTATGTGACTGCTAATCACAAGGGGGTTGTTTTCTTGCAGGTGGAGTTGTTTTCTTGTAGTTGTTTGAGTGCTTTTGACCAATAATCTTGTGTGAAACACTGTCTGCCCATGTTAGGTTCACTATAAAAGTTAGGCTATTCGGGCAATAAAATGGAGCATGATCTGCCTCTACTGGTATCTGTCGTGCTTTTGGCCGTGCTTCCTGCAACAAGTCATAGTATTACCTCATGACACTTGGTCTTTCTGTATACAACATGATTATATACAAAGAAAATAAATGTTATTATTTGCTACCTAGTATTTAATGGAGACTATAAACCGTTGTATTTAACCATTTAAAATATAAACAATTTATTATTATAGTATTTAACCATTAAAATATAAACCATTGTATAAACCATTTTCTTTAATCATTTCCTGAGACAATAGAAAATATGTGAGGTAGGATATTTTGATATACATGAATGCTAAATTGAGAAATTGTATTGTAGTTACGTTGCCCTGGCATAATATGATGCCCCAATTTTTATTGCTGATGCATACAACTAGACCCTCTGAGTTCATTGATATGAATAAATTCTTCTGCATATCCCAAGACAAATAGACTTGTATGTTTTATTCCTAATAAGAGAAGTGTCAGGTCTGACAAAGTTTTGCCACATCTGATTGTTATGTTATGCTTTCAGATCATCTAGACTGCTGCTTGGTACATTCTTTGCTGCTGAGTGCACCAAGTAAGACCAACACCTCCAGATCTGATAGCCCTTCACAACAAGACAAAGCCATATTTTCCCACACAAAATT